GCGTTCCGACCGATGCCAGACAGTCCTGCTTCTCCCGTTTGAGTCTGGGTCCCTAGAGACTCACCCAGAGCTGGAGCTCAGAGCCTGAGCCTCCCTCCTGATTGAAAACGACAACCTCGCCTTCAGCCACCAGCCTGCTCCGCACGCACCTCCGCACCTTTGTATTTTCCGCACTGTGCCTCCTCTGAGCCTCAATATGCTGTTCTTTTTCCTTCTAGTTGAAGAATTTCCCCTCAGCCAGCTTTCCTGTGGTTCTGGGTGATGTCCGTTCGTCTTTTAGTTGTATTTTTGAAGTGGTTGTTCGAGGCAGCAAACTCTAGTGTTTACCTATGCTGCCATCTTGGTTCTCTCAAACATTTTTAAGAGAGTATTTATAGCGTGTACATTGTAAGATGACATAGAAAAGATGGGTGGGCTGATTTTATCTACTGGCTTTCTTTACTTGGTGAACTATACCCAGCTGTTTGTAGAAGTTAATCTTAAATTGTTAGTATTTCAAGTTGAATGAAATGATTTTCTTGAGATGATTCACAATCTACATGATAGAATTATAATTGTTGCTGTTTATTAAATAGAATTCAGAGTGAATCTCCACCCTTTCTCTGCCAAGTATCTAAACAATATCATTTAGGCTAATGTTAATGAATAAGAATTCTGAAACATGTGAGCATCTTTAGAAGAGGCAAACAAGTACTTTAAACATAAAAATATTATTTGTCTCTTAGGTTTGGATGTTGATGGGATATACAGAGTAAGTGGCAACCTTGCAGTGATTCAGAAACTGAGATTTGCAGTCAATCATGGTAAGATCATAATCCCTATTGTTATATCCAAAATAATCACTCAGAGCTGTTAGAATTTAAAGTAATTTAGAATTGTTTCTATTTCTACTGTTTTTCCAGATGAGAAATTGAACTTGAATGATAGTAAATGGGAAGATATTCATGTCATCACTGGAGCACTCAAAATGTTTTTTCGAGAATTACCAGAACCACTTTTTACATTTAATCACTTTAATGATTTTGTGAATGCAATAAGTAAGTATGTAATTCTACTCCCTTTTTTTTTCTAGATGTTGAAAATCCTCTATACAGATTAAGTCACTACCTTCTGGTGGGTTTTTTTGTGGGGGGTTTTTTATCGGTTTTGCTCCAGAAATTATAAATGTGACCACCAGATGTCACTGTGTATCACCAAATAACAGGTTCCAAACTATGTCACTGCTTTTCAGTTTCAGTTCTACTTACTATCTTTTTTTCAGAACAAGAACCAAGACAGCGAGTCACTGCTGTTAAGGACCTAATCAAACAGTTGCCAAAGCCAAATCAAGATACAATGCAGATCCTTTTTAGACATCTCAAAAGGTAAAAGTCTCAGCACAAAAGAGAAATAGTAATTAGGAAAACAAAAGATAGAACTGCATAGTTATGACACATGGTGTAGTATACCCAGGAGGCCTGGTCACTCAGACCCAGGTTTAAATACCAGCTATGCTACTTACTATCTTTGCAACTTGATAAAGAGCTCCTTTGAGCCTCAGTTCCTCATAGGTAATAGGGTTTGGTATAAAGAATACATTAAAATAGATGTTATGTGTGAAGTAATGCCTAGCAAGGGTGTGGTTGGTGTTAGAAATTGTTGTTAAATTTAATTAATATGAAGATGAGATTGCTTAATAAATGAGGACTGTTAAATCACCTTAAAATAAAGCCATCATTGCTCTAAGTTACTACATAGCTACCTTAATAACTGATTTTTTCCCTTCTGAAAGAACAACCACTAGCATACTAAAATAAATGATTCAGTGAGAGATTTAAAAACAACCCATAAAATGAGTAAAATCGGAAGTTTAAGCTCTGTGCTCTAATGAAATTTCCCCCTCTATCAACCTAGTGCAGTAATCTTTGTCACCTGAATTGTAAGTCATGTTTAAGTTTGTCTTATTTTAAATGCTAAGCTAAAATATCACATTTAAGCTTATTAGGATATGTTTAATTATACCTTCCAGGTATATTTATCCAGAAGAGCTTCACATGATATTTGAGCTGAATTTTACTTGGCTAAATAGTTTATATGTATCTTCAGAAAATGAAAATTATTTCTCATTTTTAAATGCAAACTGTTTATGTTTATAACACAATTTGAAGAATTTACCTCTCTAAGATATTCTCTATTAACAATTTATTTTTCCCCCCCTTAGAGTTATAGAAAATGGAGAAAAAAACCGAATGACCTATCAAAGTATAGCAATTGTTTTTGGTCCTACTTTGTTAAAGCCAGAGAAAGAGACTGGTAATATCGCAGTTCATACTGTCTACCAAAACCAGATTGTAGAATTAATTCTTCTGGAAATAAATTCCATCTTCGGACGTTGATTTCATATTGAAGACAACCTGTAGCATAGGAACCGGATTCCATCAGATTTTAAATCCTTGTACATGTTGTATTTTGTTTTTGGACCAAGCAGTGACTCTTTGATTTTGCACTTTTTTGAGGGATCAGAAGGGACTGGAAGAGTCAAAATGGGTAATAGGCCCTCATATTTGCTGCTTTGTTGCAAGGTGATAAAACTATGTTTAATTTTGTCCTGAATGTTTGCATTCCATACTCTGAATTTCAGTAAAAATAAAAACTTGCAAATCTAACCAGTCATATACACTGGATAATTTGGTAAGAAAACTACTTTTTTTTTTCTCAAACTGGATAATGTAGAACTTCTTCTCATGATTTGTTAGGTTTATAGAACAATACTTACTATCAGTTATTTGAAAATCGTTCCTGGGCATTTTAAACAAAGTGAAGTATGTCTGTTTTGATACCTGTGTATTTCTTTTTCAAGGTTTTTGCATGTAGTGTGGTCTAAGTGCTAAAATTTATTGTAACCCAGATATAATTCCTTGACAGAGGCTTTGTCGTTTGCTGTATTGCACAGCATCCTTATGGGATATCTTAGTTGCTTGTTTGGGCAGCACACTAATACTACATAAAACACTGTGATATACTTGAGTTTAATTTAGCATATGTCAGTACAGGGTATTTTGGGGCTGTCTGTGCTACACTGATTTAGCTAACAATCCTAATTATATATAGTGCCATACTGAGTTCTTGGTATGATCCTGTGGAAACACATTATTTTATGTAAATATAGGCTGAAGACTTAATGTCCTTCAGCTTATGTATAAAGTTATGTTGTATAGCCTCAGAGTATATTCAAAGTCAACATTTCTAATCATGATATTGGTAAACTTTTCTGTGAATACTAGGTCTCCTCCCAAAATAGGTTGTTATTTGATAAAATTAACTACGCACTTTTAGTTTTTAATTACATTTACAGGCAAATCACTGTAATGCAAATGGTACTGGAAAAATACTGAGTAGACTTGCTAAATGGTAAATGCACTACAAGAGGAGCCTTTAGGTTATTTAATATGTACAGAATACATTAGAAAACGATTTATTGCTGAATTCTAACTTCAGTATGAATAGTGGAAACCTATATGTAAATTAGATGGATGTCAGAAAATGACATTGCTAAATTTGAGAATTTCTTTTTACATTACTAATGTAGATTGATTTGTATAATAAAACAGGGTTTGGAAGGTTTTGTTACAGAGAGCATGGTTTGTTGAAGATTTTTTAAAATGTATTTTTTTAGATTAACTGCTGTATATGAAATGTCTAATCTGAATAAAGAAAACTATAAGAGGTTTAGAAATTTTTTCCCATTAGAGATGTTTATTTTGTTTTTTTAATTTTTTGTTTTTGCATATACTGGTATACCTCATTTAAAAATCAACTGAATCTAATATTTTCTGTGGCAAATATATTTTCCTCATTTTACATCTTTTCTACTAGTCCCATGCCAGTACCTCTTCTCTTGTCTCCATTTTTTATTTCTTCATCAAAATTTGAAAGTGAATGATTTGTAACCAAGTCTCTTTTGCTTAGAAATTAATTTATAATTTATAGCTTGCCTTTCTTCGGAACAAATATTTTGTATGATCTATCTAAAAACCTCTCACCTGAGTTTTGTGGTAAAACTATTGTTTGCTGTTGTGGTCTTGTTAAATTGATGACAAGACAAGTTACTTGATAGCTATGGGAAAGCAAATTGTTTTGGACAGGGAGAATAAACCCCCAAGTGAGAATGTTTATTTTTGCCTAAAGATATCCTTAATAATACCACATGATTTAGGACTGGCCTATATAGTGATTGTGTGCCAGGAAAACAATCGGACTCCAATCAGTGACGTTCTTTCTCTCACTCGTTATGAACATATCAGTGATTAATATTGTCCTGTGTTTCTTCTGTCAAAGTACGTGTGTATGTGTGTAAAGTCTTAAGTGTTAAGTCTATACCTAATCAATTTATTGTAATATTGTATGTACAGTAAGATTAGTGTCCTATGTTTTCATCCTTTGTGAATTAAAATTTCTCACTTGTTTTTTTGTGGTAACAAAACCAGTAATTTTTTTGTTTCAACAGCTTGAGTTTTAGTAGAAAATATAATAAAGGCTGAAATAAGTTGTCACTGGAATTTCATTTACTAAATTTACTTCAGCATGTCATAAAAAATGTAGTTGGAAATTGAAAGACAAATATATTCGGTATGGGATTACATTCCAGTTAAAAGAAAAATACTTAAAATTTAAAGCAATAAGAAACTTCACTGTTTACTCGAAAAAGTTAATTATGAAATATCTATGAAAAATCATGTTATCTTTTAGACAGAGGCAAATCTATAGATAATTTTTTCTTATGTGAAAAGTACAAATGGAATAATACAGCCAAACTTGAGGCTTAGGCAGATGTTATACACATCTGTACACTATGTGTATATAAATATGTGTGTGTGTATGCCATTGCTTAAATACAAATGAAAATTCATCAATAATAGTATGGGTAGAGACCTGGAGACCTTTATACTATTTTTTGTTTCATCACACAATTTTTTGTAAGCCTGTAAAATTAGATATTAGATAGCAGCAGTGAGAGGGGAAAAATGTTATTCTATAATTATGCCAAAAGATTTGTTTTCCAGCTTATGGGAGAGGCTTCTAATTAAATATTTAAAGTAAACATATAGTTTCCCATGACACTAATTTCTCTAACATCTTTATGCATTAAAAAAATACACAAAGATTTCAGTAAAGAAGAAAATAAAAATAGTCAAATGGGTGTCATGCTCTCATGGTGTCATAAAAGTCAGATGCTCAAATATTGCATCTAAACACAGAATTGAAAATGGGTAGAAAATAAGATTTTATGTAGTTTACTGGTCTCTGAACTCCAACCATTAGCTTTAATGATCCTCTTTTACAGAAAGCATTTCTCTGGTGCAATCTAGAAAAGGTGTTAAATAGGGACTTTAGCAGCCCATATGTTACAGTCCTGGAGGAGGGGCAGAGTTGTTTTTTTAAACAGTATTCCAATATAACTAACACAGTCCTGTTAAATGCAGCTTTAGTTTGAAACAAACAAACAAACAAAAATGGTAAAGGGTGCTGCAAAACAAAGCAACACTCTTACAATAATGACAAATTGGAATCTATTGGAAATGCACAAGCTGTAAACCCAGGCCAGGCAGTCAGACTTTGTATTCTAGAGATGGGGGAGGTACAGAATGCCTAATGAGACATTCTGTAACTACTAAAGACAAGGCAGTTCTCCTGGGGAATCTCAATTAGTCTTCTCAACTGAAGTTTTGTGGATCAGTGGTGGCTGTAAATATATTCAGCTGGATTGAGCTTTTATAAATTAGCTTTATGTGAATATAGCACTTAAATGAACTCTTTCATTTCCTTCATTGCTTCCCTTCTCCCACAGGGGGAAAAAAAGGAAAGAAAAGAGCACTTTCATGGTACTCTCATAAACAGAGCACTTGTAGAACAAGGTAACAGTTGAACAAACCACTACCATATGGATTTAGAAAAGTCTGGTTCCTCACTTTTTCTCATCAACTCTCCGCCCCCCTTTATTTTACTTCCTCTCTTGATGTTTTCAGAAAAGAAGTTTTGGTTAAGATTTTTAATTATTAATTCTGGTAGCCAAATCTTTTACATGGTTCTAATGCTTGTACTCACACTGCAAATAGCACTGAAACTTGTAATGTTGTCATGAACCTAGTAATGCTGATGAAATCTATACTGCCATCAAAATGACCAATGATACTATGTACAAATTCTTATTAGCGGGGCCTTTGCAGAGGGAGAAATCAAAACCACTGTGACATCATGGTAGAGCACCTGGTGGAGATTCAGCATAGCATTCAAGACCTCCTTCCTTTTGGGCATTTTGAGAGATTATTTATATTTAGTCAAGATGCTGCAGATAAGCTGCCAGGCGGTGCGTGAGAATTAATCAGCCGGGCACTCAAGAAGATGTTTTCAGAAAAGTAGCCTTTATTGCAGATTGCACTAGTGCCATGACTCAGGGGATTCAGTCTCTAAATCGGGTCCTCAAACTCCGGCCCGCGGGCCACATGCAAATAGAAATATTGTATTTGTTCCCGTTTTGTTTTTTTACTTCAAAATAAGATATGTGCAGTGTGCATAGCAATTTGTTCATAAACTATAGTCTGGCCCTCCAACCGTCTGAGGGACAGTGAACTGGCCCCCTGTTTAAAAAGTTTGAGGATCCCTGCTCTAAATCCTGAGTGATGAATATGGACCAGGGGTGGGTAAACTTTTTGACTCGAGAGCCAGAATGGGTTCTTAAACTGGACCGGAGGGCCGGAACAAAAGCATGGATGGAGTGTTTGTGTGAACTAATACATGTTAACACTGCTGCTGGTGAAGAAGCAGAGGGGAGAGCAAGAGAACCCTCCGCTCTTTCGGCTCCGCGGGCCGGATAGAACAGCCAAACGGGCTGGATCCGGCCCGCGGGCCGTAGTTTGCCCACGGCTGATATGGACGAAGCTTTCCCTTTATAAGCTTTAGTTCCTTTGTCCCCCAAATATGGGTCAGGCTTCCGGATGGGCTTTGAAGCCCCCTGTGAGTTGGGATGGGGGATGTGAAACTCCCCCCCGCCCCCCACCATCCCCAGCACTGCGCCAACCCCTCCAGAGATGATATATGGTTCATGGTTTATGGCCTCTGTAAAATGGGAGTATTCAAGAAAACAGGTTCTGCAAGGCAGGACAGTATTACAGATAAGAAGGGAGTTT